TTAGTGAACTTATCATCAAAGTCATCAATTGTTAACTATCTTACGGTGAGAAACGTAAAATGCCCAGCATCCATAGAATGTGCAGTTAGGAGATAAGTAGAAGTATATGAGTAGAACTTGTTGCGTTTTGCAAACCTTTTACAGTACCGAATTTGCCTGTAGAACATTAGCCGTAACTTCTACTGTTGGCAGAGTTAAGTGCCTGTGAGGAGTGAAGTACTAACACTGATGAGATGCACATTTTAAGCCATTCGCTGTACAGGTTGCTACAGCTGTTATACTATTTAATAGATTTAGGTTTGATATCTGGTTTAATCAGTTGACTGTTTCTGTAAATTTCTTTCCAACACATTTGGCTTATTAGTTTTTTGCTTTTTTGTTTTTAATCTTATTCTGTTTACTAACGTATTTCGATCGCTAGGTACTTATGGCACCGTGTTCAAAGCGAAAAATCGGGAATCTCATGAGATAGTGGCTCTGAAACGAGTGCGGCTGGACGACGATGATGAAGTAGATTAATATCTTCTTTAATTTTTTAAGTACTGTTCGAAATTAAACGTTGTTTTTAAGGGCGTACCAAGCTCTGCATTACGAGAAATCTGCTTACTAAAAGAACTGAAACATCCGAATATCGTGCGACTCTACGATGTAGTACATAGTGACCGGAAGTTGACCCTGGTGTTTGAATATTGTGACCAAGATCTCAAGAAATACTTTGATTCATTAAACGGCGAGATCGATCCGTCTATGGTCAAGGCAACGACACCAATATACACATAAATAGCGTTTAAATATTCAAATTTTTTGATTTAGTCGCTTATGTATCAGTTGTTGTGCGGTTTGGCCTTCTGTCATTCGCAGAATGTTCTTCATCGCGACTTAAAGCCCCAGAATATACTTCTGAACAAAAATTTGGAGTTGAAATTGGCCGATTTCGGTTTGGCTAGGGCTTTCGGTATTCCGGTTAGATGCTATTCAGCAGAAGTAAGATAGATAGCGAAGCAACGAATTTTAATTGCTTTCTGCTATATTCACTATCATTTGCAGGTAGTCACGTTGTGGTATCGCCCTCCCGACGTCCTGCTCGGTGCCAAGCTTTATAATACTTCAATCGACATGTGGTCGGCTGGATGCATTTTTGCCGGTAATTTCGTCCGACTTTCAAAAGTATCTTTGAACTGTAATTGTGTGCCTGCTTGTGCTAAGAACGATATCTTAATTTTCAGCAGCCCGCTCTTTTGTCTTTCGACAGACCTCGAATAGCCTCTTGTCTTTCGACTTGCAGTGGGGGAATGTGTGAGCGGTTGGGTGGGCTTACAATCGGCTGATGCAGTATCTCGCTGACAGTTCAGTTCATCCAGAGTCGCGATGTTTTTTTGAGAGGTGCTTGGTTTCATTGACCGCTTAAGACCAGTAATTGACTTTACAAGGCAATATTCTTTACAACGCCATTTGCGTTAGCCTTGATCCAGTCAGTGTCGTTTTGACGAGAGACAGAAAGCGACGGTGGGGCAGCGTGGAAGAATTGTGCCTTCGACGCTTATTGAGGATTAAGTAGTAGGATGAGAGATTGTCTCCTCTGATAGCACATATGCCTTCAGTGGAGCTACAGATTTAGAAAAGAATGTTATTAGTGTTAGACAAACTGTAAGAGCATAAATCCGTCACTCCACCCTTCAAATTTTCATTTGAGTACTGAAACGCGCCATATGTCATTCACGAGGCCTGCGTACAACATCAAGGAGCAATATAGAACTTGATCTTGAATAAATGAGTTATTCTACGGTTTCGTAAACTCTGTAGTGTAGCAAAACTACTGAAAAGTTGAGAATACGACGTATGTCACTGTACATAAGCTCTGATAAGGCAAACGGCTCAGTATGAAAGTCGGTGGCACAGTGATAAGAGGTCAACTTTTGAACGCCGGATGTGCCGGATTTGAATCCCTAATTCATAACCGCTAATTACCCTGATCGAAGAATCCATCCATATTGTTTAAGTACAATCAGCCGAGAATGGATAGCAAGTCGTTGACTTGGGAACAATGGAGAAAGCAGGATGATCATACCAGGACGGGCGAACGGCACACCTATACTGTCTGATGCGAGCTTTTCTTAGGGTTGCATTTCGCCATGACTTACAGGATAATTGACTATCCAATGGGATCATCAACAGAAAGTGTAGACCGAAAAAGTGGTCATAAATAACACCAGTCGTCACATAATTACAGCAAAATCTGTGATAGTAACAAATGCAATTTTCCAACATTTATTTCTTTTTTGTCTTTTACATGCTGACAGTGAATCTATGAAATTATACGTTTTTATTAATTTAGAAATTGCAAACGCCGGCCGCCCCCTTTTCCCGGGAACTGACGTAGACGATCAGCTACGGAAGATCTTCAAACTTCTCGGAACTACCAATGAAGAAACGTGGCCCGGTGTAACGCAACTACCCGAATACAAAGTGATCAAGAAATTGTTATATCAAAGCATTCACAACCGCTGAACTGTTTTAGCCGATGCCATTCTACCAACCGAGCGTTACTTTTACCCAGGCCATTCCAAACATCAACAGCAAGGGTCGGGATCTGCTTCAGGTAACACTGAAGTGGTCCTGCTGCGATTCAGGGTGTTTCAACTGCATGATCCTTGGATGATGATATTCTTCATAATTTGTTCATATGGTTGCGATAATTGACCTGGGAGGTCGCTTTTTTACTAAAGTCCCCAAGTGTTTTCCAACGTGAAAAGTCTAAAATATTCTTCTTTTCTTGATTCATGGTTCAAGGCTGTAGGTGACTAGGACAGTGTAGCATCTTTGATTTTGCCATAAGCGTTTCGAAACTGCGCATCGCCACCCACCGTCAGGGTAAAACGCAAATGAAAGAAACATTTTAAGAGAAATGTTTTTTATGTGTCTAAATGATAGAATTCATTGTGAACCAATAGGCCTGTGATATTTCAGCTGCAACTAAAATTCAGCGATCTCATGAATTCGTTACGCATTTAGCCTTTGTGAGTGAAGATGCAGCGATTCTTTGATTAGTAGGCCGGTGTTTGACTGCTAGTTCTTAGCACAAATGGTATTAATTATACGAAGTGAGTATCTTAGGTAGAAAGCATGCAAAATTATGCAGATAGGACATATCTTTAAAATTCTCAAAGCTGTCAGATGTTCCGCAACTTTGTTTAGCCTTCTGTTGGTTCTACGGATGTAACTGTTGCCAATCACTGCTTCGGATTTTTTATATTACGTTCCTCTGTTTCGTTATTTCGGACTGGTGAAAATCTCAATAAATTGGATCGGTTGGTAGTAACTTCGAAATCTTCATTGCCAGCGTACCATTTTTTGACCATTGGTGTTTACCATCATCATCTCGCGAACGCGATTCAGTTAGTCAGTCAGTTTCGATGATGTTTATGCTTTCTGTTCGCGGAAGCTTCTGCGTCAGACAGTATCTCCAGTGTTCCTGATCCTGTGCCAACCTCTGCGCTTCGTCAGAAGGTAACCCAAGTCTGGTGCAGAGTCCTATGACACAATTGTCCCAATCATTTTTAGGCATTCCCAGAGTTTGATCGATTCAGCTTGTAATAGCTGTGGCGCCTTCGTTTCTGGAAGCATACGCAGTGTGCACAAACCATCGCATCCCTCAACTTCTGGAGAAGCAGCGGCTGTACAAGAAGGTTCTTTCGGATATCGAGGAGTGTGAGCCAAGCAGTTCGTCTAAGAAATCCCATTTCAGCCGACTGTATCCAGGATCGACGTTTTCAGTCATGGTTCCCCAGCTCATAAGCATAGATGAGCATGGGGATGCAGATCGATTGGAACGCAGAAAGTTTGTTCTTCACACTTGTCTTCTTTACTCACAGCGATAGTTTAAAATAGTTTACATAGAAAGTCGCTGGCAATTCCAGTTCGAGGTCGATCTCTTTCATCACCAGTAAACACGATTGCAAGATACGTGAACATCCATTATATCACAACAAATGAGATTCCAGTCAGTGCCTGTTGCAAAATCATCTAGGTCTCTATTCTCCTGAACAAACGGCGACTGCGACGGCCAAGGTACATTCGCCGGACGATGTCACATTCATTATTGAACGTCACCCTTATCCATGGATGGCATCGGAAAAGAGACGGACAAATTAACACCTGTCAGAGTTGACGTTGAAGTCATACCTGCTTCGGCAGTTTATTACTTACAAACGGTTGAATAAAGACTGACTGAACTTTGTGACGGACACTGCGCTTGATCGACAAGGGTGGAAAGCAGAGATTCGAGAGTCATCGGGGCCGACTAGTGTACACTAGTGATGATGTAACAGCACGACCCATTTTATTTTTTTAGAAATTTTTGGAATGAACCGATTCCCCTTTGTGAAGATTTAACTTTTAAAACTGACCGTGTTATGTAGATGATTCAGTATATGTTCTTTCTGGCCTGTCAGCTGCATCGGTGATTTTAATGGTGACTTCTAAGTCTTATTATTAATTTACAGGCGCAAGCACCTGTTGAAATGTTGAGGTTTTCGATATACAGAAAGCTTAGACGCGTTAACGTTCTGAAACCCCTTGTTATTAGCCAGGACATTCAAGAAGCTCGTTTGATCTCAGGTGAAAGCGATCAGTTTTGTTCTGTAATGGTCTGTTATGAAACTTTTACATATATGCGAAGAGTCGAAGAATGTTCGTCTGCAGTACTGTGATGAGTAATCTTCTAATTTTATGTAGACCATAGATTCCCGATTGTTTCCGCTGTATAAAAGTTCTTAAGCGTCTTCGGTCATTATAGATTCGAGGGTTGTCACAATGATCAAAGATCCCATTGGAATCTTAAATTTCTGTTGGTAAATTCGAAGATTCACGATAACACTTCGCGTTTCCGAGATCTACCTGAAATATTGAAATCAAGTTTATCGAGAAAGATTGTGATCTATCCGTTATTCCACTCAAGAAAAGGAGTTATCAGTATTCAGAATCAGTTATGCAATACCTCTTACCTTAATGGTAGACAACCGCGCTGTCCTTTTTCGAACGGATCAATTAGATTTTCCAGTAGTTGTAAAGTTTTACACCAGGTTTATGTAATGTTAGTCTTTTAATGACGTGTTGCTTTCAGAGACTTCTGGTCTGTAATCCCGTCCAACGAATTACTGCTGACGCAGCTCTGAAACATCCATACTTTGCTGACGTCCATCTTGGGTGATCGAGGAACTTAGATTTGGCAATTTTGATTTTTGTTTATAGACTGTTTTGTTTTACTATAGTTAACTGAAATTGAACTTGTCAGGTATTCTTGTTTGTGATAGATGCTTTTAGCCGTAGTACAGTTTGTTTTATAAAACATTTTTAATTGATGAAAAATGAGAAAGGTACGGACTAAAATCATATTTCTGTCAGCATATCAAAACGCAGGGCAGTCAGTTTAATCCAGGGATTAGTTATAAGAAATCTTCTAACCAGGCGAAGCGCCAAGAATCTAGAAAACTTCACGAATGATGCTGTTGCATAAAAGTGGTATTCGAGAAGATCTGAAAAACTCGAGATTTGCATATTTGCTACAGGGCGCCGACTTTACACAGAAGTTGTACTAATAGCATAAGCAACAACAGCGATCGAGCTGGTCGGACTTTGTTGAAAATTCTCAACACTATTGCATTTAAGCATTGCCCAAACTGCGGGAAAAGTGTAGTGAATATATACCGATTACCTACATGGTCCTAGTAGACTGTGACAGTGTAAATGGCATGCTAGGAAAGTAAGTTTTTCATTAGAGGAGCAGAGAATTTAAATTGTTCCAAATCAGAATTGGAAGAATTTTCAGGCAGCGGTAAGCAGATGCATCTGTTTGAAGATTCGGACAAAACTCAGCACGTGACAACATGGAATGGCTCGAATTAATATTCCTTAGCATGAATGACAACAAACTTTTCAATCAGTGATGAACTGCGAATCCTCCTTCGGTTTTGACATTTCTGCTTTATGAAACCTGATTAATTGCTTAATTATTCAACGATTAAATGTCGCAAGAACCGGGTTGAACATGAATTCTTCCAGCATTTGTTTTCCATTTCTTGATACTCTATACCAGTTTAGTCGAAACGCTGAAATATTGTAAAAATACGTTTTCATTATATTTTTTAATGTTCTTTATGCCACTGACCATAGAATAAAAAGATAACAGCTAAAAGTCATCTACGAAACGGCAACAGTTGCAGATTAGAAATTATTTAACATAAATAGTCGTTTTTAATCGACATTTATGCGGTTAACGTAGTGCAAAAAAAGGTATAAATGAGTTCAGTGTCAGCCTTACGCCAAGTTCCGCTCAACTTGTTTCTAAATATGTGCAGAAGCGTTTGCGGACTTGGCTGTATAGCTCTCGTATAACGTATCTGTAAACGTGCGACCCACGTGCTTAATGTAAATGTAAGTGATACCAGAATAGTTTTGATGACTTAATGGTCGCCAGCAATAGAATCGTTTGAACAATCCGGTGATATGCAACATGATAGGAGAAATGAAACTCACAGTAAAGATAGGGGTCTCCAATTTGCAGATTCAAACTTGAAGTCACGAGACTACATACTCTTTGAATGGCATCACACAATCACCAACACCACATAAAATAAGACGTATATCTTTGGGACTGAAGAGTTTAAGCTCGATAACATGTTCATACAAAGCCATCGACTGAGGTAAAGCAAACATCTAGTGGGTGGTACAAATTATAACTGGTAATTTGTACTTGCAAGACAGCACTGCATCCAAACAGGGAACTGTAACTATTCCCAAATATCGGAAATCGCTGAGCATGCCTGCCTGGTACTGCTACCTGCGCCGAAACATTCTTTCGATTAAGAGCTCGGTATGATGCGTCGTGTGGCATGGAGATCTGTGGAAAACAAAATTCTGTCAGCGACAAGAAGTGCCGTGTTTCCTGTATGTGCTGTCGACAATAAATACGCCGGTACGATCTGATTAAATCTGTTAAATCATGATATATCCTGCCGAAATTAGTGGAAAGCTATGGAGAAAAAATTGTTCAAAGTTTCAGTCACGCACACAAATTAAACATTCT